TAGTAGAATCAATCACATGTTGACATGCTGTTCATTTTCAGAACTGCTATGTCTTTGTTGCAGGTCATTGTAGTTTCTGTGCACAGTCACAGTAAGTGTGTATCAGTTTTTGCAGGAACCACTTTGCAGGCAGAAGGTTTACAAATATGATGATAGAAGCTGCATGGACAGATTCAAGTGATGGATCAGAGAAATACATGAAAGGGGCAAACAGTCTTAAAGGTTATAAATGCAAACAAAATAAGTAGAAGTCCCCTTTTAATCCCAGCATGTTCCTGCTATGGACTGCATGTCACATACAATAGGTAGGTGATATATAACAGGACCTAATGGCCCTCACTCACATCTCATTTATTCCAGTGTAAGCCAGGAGTAATTGCACTAAAGTGAATGCAGTTATATTGGTGTACAACTAATTAGAATCAAGCCCCAAAATTCACTACGAAATGAGGTGAAAGAAGAATCTCTGCTGTAGTATCTGAAATTCATTCAAGTGGGAACTCATGACCATATAGTCACAATTATTCTATATTCTTTTGCGGCAGCATAAAATATTGTTTTTCAAGTGACCATTGAGACAAGTAAGAGCATCCAGAAAGAAATAAAATATTTCAATCTCAAGGTCAGATCTTCATCTGACTTCACTCCAGTGTAGTCCATGGAACAGTGCCAATTTATACCATTTAGTATCTAAGCCGCAGATATTTGCATTTGATTCTTTACCGCTTGCAATAGCAAAAGATCCACCGGCTACAACTGGTCTTTGGCCTGAGTAAAGAATGAGTTCTTTAAGCACGAGTTCAAGGTGGGCTTGTTGTACGATACAAGAGACATCTAGATGGTATCACAAACCAGGTTAATTTAATCTCATCTGTCCAAGAACCTATTTTGCTTTGCATTTCAGTTTAATTACTTGAAAGGGAAAAAACAGAATATCTATTTGATTGATGTTGGGAGCTAAGAACAAACCCCTGAAGTTGCTTGGAGGGATTTGCTACCAGATCATGTAGCCTAGTTTTGAATCCTGATCCAAAGTCTAAACATAGCTAATGAATCTCCTAATTAAGCATTCATTGATAGAGTTTAAATGAAAGAAGCTGTTGGACATTTCCTTTAACTCTTGTAATCAGGCAACAGGAAATTCAGAGCAGGCAAATTGATGTCATTGTATGGAGCAATATGGAACTGGCTCTTCAATAATAAAATAATGATAGCTGCTCAACCACTTTATACTATATAGGCAAAACCAAACAAGGATTCATTGGAAATGAACAAACAGATATTAGTAAGTCCTTCTATGTCTTTTATGAACTGTCCTGTGTGCCACATCTTTTAGTCCTTGCAAGTAAATCTCCCACTGGCTTTACACTAAGATCATAAACTGCATTTGCACCACTGGACTGCTAAAGGGCCTTGTATGAGAATCAAGCCCTCAGAAAATCCCTTGCTTACTTTTGGGTTGTTGGTTGTAGCAGTGTTGGTCTAAGGGCATAGGCAGACACGGTTCTTTGGGTAGATGTGAAACCTTTTATTAGACCAACTAAATAATTGGAAAAATTGTCCTTTGCAAGCTTTCCAGCCCAAAAGTGCTCTGAGGAAGCACTCAAAAAGCATTCTGAGGAAATTCTGAAGTCCTTCATTAGACTTTCTCAGTTACAGTTCTCATTCACTCATTGCCTTCAATGAGAGTTTTTTCTTTGGTTTCCAAAGCAGAGCTTGTGTTACTATGGCTGGGATCAATGAAAGCCCCAACTGGAATAGCTTAGCAGCAGCCACATTTTGCTGCACTCCCACAGCAATGAACAGTTGGCACAGAATATGACTGCTGCAGTGAACCTGTTCCAGCTCTCTCTTGAAAAGATAAAACCGCCCTTACTCCTTCAAAATTGATCTGCCCATCCTTTCTTCTGCAAGAAATAGAAGTGCATATCAATTGAAAAGCAAGCGAAAGGTCACAGAAAGAGAAAGTTACAGAGTCAGTAGAGAATAATCGTTTTAATAATGACTAAAAATCATCCTCGGGTCACAGAAAATGCAGAAACAATGTAAAAGTGCAGTGGAGGGCTGGGCGAATCGAAGTAGGCATATCAGATCCTTCTCTTGTAAAGTGTCAGTGCTACATCTACATCCTTGCAAGCACGACTTGGAACTTGACTGAGGCCCACTGACTTCAAAGATGTAAGTGCCAGGGTCTGGCACAGCTGGGGGTTATGTTGCGATTTTGAATCCAGACATGACCAATAGTGTCTGAAAGATGTTAACATCTGATCATCTGTTCACCAGATTCACAAATTCACCACAGTACACTCTATTCATTTTTCTTTCAGGCAATTCATCAGTGAGGTGACAAACTGAGTTAGACAGGGAGGTTAATGTACCCTCTCAGACATAGAGATGGCCCCTCTAGTTCAAACGGGTAATTGCCTGAATAATGGGGAGGGGTGGGGATGTCAGCTCCAGGGGCATAGGGATGAATCAGGCCCTTCAATTCTTTCTCTGGATTCTTTCTCTGTGTTGGATGGATCTGAGAAACCCATGGCTATTTACAATATCAAGAGATCAGCCTCAGCTTTTTGCTTCAGCAGATGGAAATGGAACTAATACTAAACTGCTAGGTGACACATCACATCTTTATTGACTGTATTCTTATTTCTTTCAAGAGCATCTGGAAAATGCACACAGCCTTTCAAGAGAGGTGGAACGAGCAATTGCATAATAATTGGAAACCAATTTTTCTTTCTTCCTCTGTTTACTACCAGCAAAACACCAATATTTTGGGTCTACAGCAAAACACCATTGCCCATGCACATTTATATATGTATTCCCTATCATAGGGAAAAAAGAAAACTAGTATAAAGTAAAAGTTAGGTGCAAAAATCTAGATGAGTACTGTCTTATTAAGGGAAATAGTTGTGGCTTTTCAGGGCACCTGCCTTGAATAATAGCTTTTATTTGCCCTATTTTCTTCCCAGCTAACAATTCCCCATTCTCGCCACTGACCTGCAAAGAAGTCCAACATTACTGTGTGCCCCCAAAAGCTTCAGCACATGTTACATGTCTCCCTGACACCAGTTTTATGTGGAAAAGGAATTTCCACTCCTTTGACCATTTCCATGAAAATATCAGAAAGAATGTATAGAGTTCCAGATTTGTAACACCATGCACAGAAGCTAGAGATTGTTACTGTTACCGCACCTATTATTTCTGAGTTTGAAACAGGTAATTTTTTTAATATTCCATAAAATAATAAAAATGATGGTTAATCATAAACTCCAGGATCTGAGTTCGATTGTGTGTCAATGAGTGCAGAGCCAGGAAAATCAATGGATCTCTGCAAATTTATATTAGCTGAGGGTCTGGCCTGAAATAACTTGTATTTTGAGGGCCTGATTGACAGCCTATTGCAGTCAGCAGGAACCTTTCAGTTAGCTTTAATGGAATTTAAAACATGCCTATATAGCCGCTCTTCTCCCAAAGTGCTTTGCAGACTACAAAAGCCACATACATAGGAATCACATCAATATTTAATGAAGTGCATCCGTCTCCACTGCATATATTTCAGAATTAGCAAGCAACCTGCAACCTAGATGATATTGTTATTCACACTGCATGCCTGTTGCATGAGTTAATTCTGAAGTTTTCAGTCCTTTCCTAGTAGAAAGGACAAAACACTCTTAATTAAAACTAAAATGTTGAGGGTTCATGAAATGGCATTCTCAGCTTGTGTGAGCTGGTATAGCTCCCCTAAAGCCAATGGAGCTATGCAGACTGACACCAGAAGAGCAACTTGTCTTTTGTTCACTGCACAGGAGCCATTTTCATTCTGTTTCTATGGTATCAGTAACATATTTCACCACAATAGTAAAAAAAATGCTGACAGCCCACTGTATGCAAAGTAGCTGCAGTCGCAGACTTTTCACTGACCTTGCATCATGGCCGACAGTGGAATTTCATTATACAGCATATGAATAATTTGTAGCTATTGCCCATCCCCAGATTGGGTTTGATGACTGAATGGAGTGGATATTTGTTTTTAAGATGTGAATTTTAAATTAAAAAAAATGTCTCCATGTTTATACTGAATGTAAATTCAGATTACTTTCACTGAATTCAGTGAGATCACTTCAGTTAAGTAGCACTTCAGCACTTTTGAAGGAGATACTAACCCTCTGCATAGGAATGCACCGCACCAAAAATGGATTAAAGTAAAAAAAACCCAAGTATATATGTGTGTGTGTGTGTGTGTGTGTGTGTGTGTGTGTGTGTTATTCCCTTCCCTTTCATGTTCAAATACCTTGAATCCTATGCAAGCAACAGTGTAAATTAGGCAATTTCCTTTTTGTGTGACCACACTAAGCATCTGGAGATCTAATAAAAACAGTTGCATGTCATTCTTATTGGAACAAAACCTACACGAAGCAAGAATTTTGTGTCAGTCCTTTGTGTAGCCACTACTTAAGTACTACTGTGACTGGCACTAGATAGACAGAGAGAGAGAGAGAGAGAGAGAGAGATGTTGTAAGTGTTAGACCAACATGGACAGTTCTTTTCTCTTTCTTTGTGAAGCATTTGAGCGTTTGCAATTTCAGCCATTAATAAATGTGCCCCAAAATCTAGTCTTTTTTTTGTAGTCCTTACTCAGACTAAACTCTCCTGAACAGCTTCTTTTGGTAGTAAGTAACATCTTCTGACCCAAACAGATATCATACATATGAAACTCAGTTGCTTAGTTAAAAGTGACTAGAACATAACTACTGCTTGGCTGCACTTGCCCAATAGCAAATCCTCCAAACATTTGGGAAGCGGTGTCTGTCATTGCAAAGGAACTGTCCATGGTCCTTTCCCCTTTTCCTCCCGCTGCTCTTTGCTGTGCTCCTTGCAGCTTGATGGTACAAGTCTGAATTGCCAGATTTATCTACCACTGATCTGAGTCTCAAACAGGTTGACTCCTAGTGAATGTTGCCCTGTATAACATCATAGGGATAGAGATAGATTGGAAGATGTGTGTTCGTGTGTTCGCCTGTGACAAGCAACACCCACCCAACCCATGTGTATATTTTGAATCCCTGTAAGTGGCTGGCTCAGAAAAGGTTTTAACAACCCCCTTTTTTTGTCTGCAAGAAAAACCTTTGTGAGCTGTGCATCGATGGCCAATGATGGGAATCAATTGCTTTGTAGCTGTTTGAGTGGAAAGCTGCTGTGCGTACATCAAGGGCTCAGTAAGCAACTGTTCACCAGGGCACCTGAGGGAAAACTAGGAGTAATGGTCACAAACTCCTAGAAGATTGATTCAGGCTGAACATTAGGAAAAAACTTCTTCACAGTTAGGGTGTCCAGACTGTGGAATAAGCTCCCTCCAGAGGTGGTGCAATCACCTACCCTGGAAATCTTCAAGAGGAGACTGGACAGTCACCTTGCTGGGGTCACCTGACCCCAGTTATCTTTCCTGCTCGGTGCAGGGGGCTGGACCCGATGATCTTCCAAGGTCTCTTCTGTCCATACAATCTCTGAATCTATGAAGCGGGGCCTACGTTGCTTTGAGATGGAGAGGGTCTGTGACAAGCTAGAGGAGAGGCATGCGAGGCAGGGAAGACAAAATGGTAAGCAGCATGCCAGCGCAATTTGTATGTGCAATTTGCCAGAGGGTTGCACCTCGGACTACTCAGCCACTCTGCAGCACCCCTCAATGCACCCAAGGCGCACTCCCCATGGCCTTCTGAGACCGATGCCTGCCAATGACTACAGGGGCAAAAACCTGGCATGTCAAGGCAGAGTTGAAGTGCAGTATGCTTAGTGAAGTGAGGAATGCAAGGTGAGCAATCAGCCTGGCAGTCGCACCCAGTCGGGGGCTTTCAAGAGGGCGCCTGAAGCCTGCAGGGGACGGGGCCCTGCCTTCCCCAGGCTCCTCTGGAAGCGCCGGGGCTCAGACAGGCGGGCTTGGCTGCGAGTGGGGGGCGCACAGGGGCAGGCGGGGAGGCGCTGGGGCTCCGGGAGGAGGCGGG